GACATGTCTTGTTACAGTAGACTTACACTAGAGATAGAGGTAAGGTTTTCTAGTCTTGTTACAGTAGACTTACACTAGAGATAGAGGTAAGGCTAACTAGTCTTGTTACAGTAGACTTACGCTAGAGATAGAGGTAAGGCTAACGTGTCTTGTTACAGTAGACTTACACTATAGATAGAGGTAAGGTTTTCTAGTCTTGTTACAGTAGACTTACGCTAGAGATAGAGGTAAGGCTAACTAGTCTTGTTACAGTAGACTTACACTAGAGATAGAGGTAAGGCTGACGTGCCTTGTTACAGAAGACTTACGTTGAACCACGTCAATCATTTATCAACTGATCAATTAAGGTCAAAGTGCGTGACTGAGGTTTGATATATCGCTATTGTATGCTTCATTTATGTTTTGAACTCAAACAATAGAGATTTGTTTTAATCTACATTGTAGTTACAATATCAAGTTTCCAAGACGATCCTGAACAGATGTAAAACTAATGAAATGTATTTGTTTCTGTTACCAGTTTATTATCACTATATATACTCATATTGAACCACCAAGTCTTCAATAAATGTACATACCGTCGTCTTGTATAACCAAAGGTTGTTTTGTTTGTGTCACATTAAAGAAAAACAAAAGCACACTTCAAACGATACTAGAAATGTCCTAGATATCATTTATGAACATAATGGTATTATAGATTTGGTAGTTAGGTAGGACTACCAACTGTTTCTAAAATATTGTTAGTGAGAGTACAAACAGGTGACGAAAACAAAACAAAAATAGCTACCGATCTATCGTAATTTTACAGCGGTGAAACCCGGAACAGACGTTTATTTATACCCTGTTGTTTGATGTCCCCAGGTGTGGGTGGATGCTGGTACCCAGATTTTCTTCTCCTACTCCATAGCTATAGGAGCCCTGACCGCTCTGGGAAGTTACAATCTATACAATCACAACTCCTACAGGTAAAGTACTCTGCTCCTACTCCATAGCTATAGGAGCCCTGACCGCTCTGGAGAGTTACAATCTATGCAATCACAACTCCTACAGGTAAAGTACTCTGCTCATACT